GCCGGCCGTGCTTCACGGCCTTGTAGGTGATGGAGAACTTGCCCAGGTAGTGGCCGATCACCTCCGGCTTGATCTCCACGTGGCTGAAGGTCTTGCCGTTGTAGACGCCCACCATACTGCCCACCGTCTCGGACGCGATGATCACGTTCCGCCTGCGCGGGACCACTTCCGCCTTCGCCACTTCCGGCTTCTCCATGGGCGGTGCCGCCTTCGTGGCCTTGCGCAGGCGCTTCAGCAGCAAGTGCTGCTTCCGCCTCAGGCCCCGGGGTTCAGGCTGCCGCTGGCGCACCCTGTACAGCTGCATCAGCTGCTCATAGGGCACGTCCAGCAGCTGGTGCACGTTCACACCGTGGTAGGTGAAATTGGAGAAGGTCCACTTCTTCTGCTTTACCTCTGCCGTTCTTGCTGGATCCTCAGAAAAGACTACTCTGTTTTGTTTTGTTTTTTGAGACAGAGTCTCGCTCTGTCACCCAGGCTGGAGCGCAGTGATGCGAACTCGGTTCATTGCAACCTCTATCTCCCGCGTTCAAGCGATTTTCCTGCCTCAGCCTCCCAAGTAGCTGGGATTACAGGCATGAGCCAATGCGCCTTCCCGCTACTTTTTGTTTACATGAGATTGGAGAAAATTCTAAGAGCAAAATCCAATTCAATTATGACCTGATAATTTATTTAAAATAATTTACTTAGAATATTCTATACCTCCACTACCATGACACATATTACAGGTACGTTAACACCAGAGTAAGGAAAATAAGCCCGAAATACAGTGTAAAAGAAAAGGGAGGCCAGGCTCAGTGGCTCACACCTGTAATCCTAGCACTTTGTGAGGCCGAGGCAGGCGGATCACAAGGTCAGGGGTTCAAGACTAGTCTGATCAACATAGTGAAACCTTGTCTCTACTAAAAATACAAAAATTAAAAGTTAATAAAAAGTTTATTAAAAGGACGAAAGGAAAAGGTAGATACAGGGTCTCGCTTTGTTGCCCAGGCCTGTCTCAAGCTCCTAGTTTCAATCTGTCCTCCTACCTCATTTTCCCAAAGGGCTGAGATTACAGGCATGAGCTACTACACCCAGCCAAATTAGAGACTTAGAATGAAGGGGGACGATAAATGAAATTATCACTGTGAGCTCTATAGTGACATAATACATCTTAGTCAGATACCCTAAAGTACTATGTTGTGTACTTTTATTATTTTCACTTTATTTATTTTTTGAGGGGGCAGAGTCTGTCACCAGGCTGGAGTGCAGTAGCACCATCCCTGCCTCCCCGGTTCAGGTGATTCTCCTGCCTCAGCCTCCTGAGTAGCTAGGACTACAGGGAGGAGTGGGTAGCCCCAGTGCCCGGCCGGCCGTGCTTCACGGCCTTGTAGGTGATGGAGAACTCGCCCAGGTAGTGGCCGATCACCTCCGGCTTGATCTCCACGTGGCTGAAGGTCTTGTTGTTGTAGACGCCCACCATACTGCCCACCATCTCGGACCGGATGATCACGTCCCGCCTGCGCGGGACCACTTCCGCCTTCGCCACTTCCGGCTTTTCCGTGGGCGGTGCCGCCTTCGTGGCCTTGCGCAGGCGCTTCAGCAGCAAGTGCTGCTTCCGCCTCAGGCCCCGGGGTTCAGGCTGCCGCTGGCGCCCCCTGTACAGCTGCATCAGCTGCTCGTAGGGCATGTCCGGCAGCTGGCGCACGTTCACGCGGTGGTAGGTGAACTTGTAGAAGGTCCATTTCTTCTGCTTTACCTCTGCCGTTCTTGCCGGATCCTCAGAAAAGACTACTCTGTTTTGTTTTGTGTTTTGTGTTGTTTTGTTTTTGAGACAAGAGTGTCGCACTGTCACCCAGGCTGGAGCACAGTAGTGCGATCTCTATTCACCACACCCTCCGCCTTCCGAGTTCAAGTGATTCTCCTGTCTCAGCCTCCTGAGTAGCTGGGATTAACAGGCGCATGCCACCACGCCCGGCTAAGTTTTGGATTTTTAGTAGAAACAGTGTTTCACCATGTTGGTCAGACTAGTCTTGAACCCCTGACCTTGTGATCCGCCTGCCTCGGCCTCACAAAGTGCTGAGATTACAGGTGTGAGCCACCGCGCCTAGCCTCCCTTTTCTTTTACACTGTATTTTGGGCTCTCTTATTTCCTTACTCTGGTGTCAAAGTACCTGTAATATATAGCATGGTAGTGTAGGTATAGAGTAATCTAAATTATTCTAAATAAATTATTGGGTCATAATTGAATTGGATTTTGCTCTTAGAATTTTCTCCAATCTGATGTAAACAAAATGTAGTGGCCAGACACGGAGGCTCACGCCTGTAATCCCAGCACTTTGGGAGGCCAAGATGGGCGGATCACGAGGTCAGGAGATTGAGACCATCCTAGCTAACACGGTGAAACCCCGTCTCTACTAAAAATATAAAAATTAGCCGATGTGGTGGCGTGCCCCTGTAATTTCATTACTCCGGAGGCTGGGGCAGGAAAATCGCTTGAACCTGGGAGGCAGAGGTTGTAGCGAGCCGAGATCGCACCACTGCTCTCCAGCCTGGGCGACAGAGTTGAGACTCCGCCCAAAAAAAAAAAAAAAAAGTAGCACATATCCCAGATTTTCAGTCTTGTGTGCTTTTTCCACTAATACCAAACACGTTTCCGTTGTCACCAAAAAAATCCTCACTGATTTTAAGAACTTTCTTAAATTTAGGGTAATTGTGAGAGGTATTTCCTCATTTTTTATACCATATCTTAAAATTCTCTTAAGTTTATTGGAAATGATTTGTATTTTGTAGACTTCTGAACAAGAAACTAAAGGCCTTCCCAGCAAAAAAGGAATTGTACAGTCTATTGTTGGTCAAGGCTATCATCGTAAAATAGTTTTGGCATCACAGTCTATACAGAATACTGTTTATAAGTAAGTATTTTGCAAAGAAAAAGTATATATATTAATACTGCTTTACACCATGTTACTTATATATTAAAGTATGCTTAGGATTTATCATTGCTTAGGAGGAACCATTTTCTAACTAAGTTTTATTGCTGTTTAAAGAGACCCTCATGTATATATAGGTCCATAGTGAATGTTATCTAACGTGATTTTGGTTTATTACATCCATGGATGCTGCAATTATTGATGGCCTAGGAAACCCTAGTCTATTCAGTGCCATTATTAAGAATATCCAGAAGAGGGCATCTTGGTATCTCCTTTTTATGTAGTTTTGGTTATCATTTGTACTTTTCATTTAGATTTTTTTTTTATAGTCACTAGGACTGAAAATACATGAAAGTGAATTCTTAGTATTAGTAGAAAACAGGTGTGTTAAAACATAAAGCAACCAAAGCAGTATAGAAGCAGTCACATGTACAATCTTCATTTGACAATTTGAAATTGCCATTATTTGTAAAGTGTCAGACTTTGCAAAGAATTAGCGGCCTTAATTTGTTTTTGTTAAAGAAGAAAATCTCTACCATTTAAAAATTATTCCAAAGTTTAAAAAACATCTGATACATAATTTAGTCTTAATTTAGATCAACTATAATGCAGGAATATTTTTAAAGACTTATGATAAAGCATTTCAAAATTTTAAAGCAATTTCAACATTGTTACTCCTTTTCAAAATTTTATTTTTCCCTAGTATAGATTCTGTTTGAGTATATCAAACCAACAGAAAGTTGTATAAAATGTTATTGAAATTATCAGACCAAAGGTAGGGTTGCTGTTTAAGTGTATAGAGGCATTTTTGAAAGCAAGGATCAACCAAAGTAAGCCTCAAACATGAAAATCTGTTTTCTTCCCTCCAATCCCATTCTTAATAAACCTGTCATGGCCCTCATTACAGTTGCCCTTGTCTGCAGTTTCTCTAGTATGTTAACATTAACGTTGTAGATAGACATCAAATTGTCTCTCCTTGGTCTCATTCATAGAGACACAGTGTACGTAATTTATATACTTGTAACCCATACTGTTTACAACCTATACTCAGGATTTAGGTTCTTCAGTGTTCTTTTATGATGGATTATATTAAAATTTCTACCTATCAAAAGGCAAAACTTTCATTTACAATCTGTTGTTTTTATTCCTTATAATAAAAAGTCTTATTTTAAAATTTTTTATCCACTTAGCTAATTTGGTTTTGTTCTTTTAAGTGATGGGCAGTCTTCGGCCATTCCTGTAGCCAGTATGGAGTTTGCAGCCATATGTCTCAGAAATGCCTTGTTGCTGCTACCTGAGGAACAGCAAGATCCAAAGCAGGAAAACGGGTCGAAAAATAGTAATCAATTAGGTGGGAACACAGAGAGCAGCGAGAGCAGTGAAACTTGCAGGTATTCTAATCCTTGTGACCTCCCTTGGCAAAATCCTTTCAGGACTTCTTTAAACCCTTTTGTTTTTTAAAGTAAATTCCTGAAATCTTCAGACTAAATTTCTGAAATTCTCTGTTTTGTATAACAGGAAGGGAAAGTATTTATATTTCTAGTCTTTCTGGAAGAGAGAAATAAGGTGAAGGCTAAGCTAGAAGAGATCCTTGAAAAAGAAAAATAGAAAGTAGCAGCTTTGGTGCGGTAGTTCACTCCTATAATCCTAACACTTTGGGAGGCTGTGGTAGGCGGATCTCTTGAGGTCATGAGTTTGAGACCAGCCTGGCCAACATGGTGAAATCCTGTCTCTAGTAAAAATACAAAAAATTAGCTGGGTGTGGTGGTGGGCACCTGTAATCCCAGCTATTCTGTAGACTGAGGCAAGAGAATCCCTTGAACCCAGGAGGTTGCAGTGAACCAAGGTTGTGCCACTGCACCCCAGCCTTGGCAACAGAGTGAGACTTTGTCTCAAAAAAAAAAAGAAAAAGAATAAAGAAAGAAAGTAGCAGCTTTTCATTGACTGGAGGGATGTTTATAAGAAGTCCTGTTATTGGCCAGGCATGGTGGCTCACGCCTGTAATCTCAGCACTTTGGGAGGCTGAGGCAGGTGGATCACCTGAGGTCAAGAGTTTAAGACCAGCCAGGCCAACATGGCAAAACCCTGTCTTTAAAAACAAAAACAAAACAACAACAAAAAAAAAAAGTCCTGTTGTCAGACAACTAAAAAAAAAAAAAAATTGGCCAGGCACAGTGGCTCACGCCTGTAATCTCAGAACTTTGGGAGGCCGAGGCAGGCAAATCACCTGAGGTCAGGAGTTTGAGACCATCCTACCAACATGGAGTAACCTCATCTCTACTAAAATTATAAAATTAGCCTGGTGTGGTGGCACATGTCTGTAATCCCAACTACTCAGGAGGCTGAGGCAGGAGAATCGCTTGAACCAGGGAGGTGGAGGTTGCAGTGAGTTGAGATAGCGCCATTGCATTTCAGCCTGGACAACAAGAGCGAAACTCTGTCTCAAAAAAATAATGAAATACTTTGGCCAGGCGTGGTGGCTCATGCCTGTAATCTCAACACTTGGGGATTCCGGGGTGGTTGGATCACTTGAGGTCAGGAGTTTAAGACCAGCTTGGCCAACCTGGTGAAACCCCATCTCTATTAAAAATACAAAAATTAGCCAGGCATGGTGGTGGGCAGCTATAATCCCAGCTACTGGGAAGGCTGAGGCAAGAGAATCCCTTGAACCCGGGAGGTAGAGGTTGCAGTGAGCCAAGATCATTCCAGTGCACTACAAAATGAAATTACTTCTCAAAAAAACAAAAAAAATATTAAAGTAAGTGCTTAACTCCTAAAGCTTCTCATTTGTTATTATCCTCTGCCTATCACCTTAATATGCTATAATCACCAACCTCCAGAATATTTTTGTATAGTTCTAGTTTTTTAGTATAAATTCAAAATTGTGCAAATCTAGGCAGGGAGCTGGAGGCCAAGAGCTCAAGTCTAGCCTGGGCAGCATAGCAAGACCCCATCTCTTCAAAAAATTAAAAATAAATAAAAATTATGTGACTCTTTAGAAATTGGGAGAACTTATCTAGTAAGGAGCAAACAAGTTCCATTATGTATAGGAAATTCTGCTTTTTTCTTTTTTTGTTTGTTTGATGAGACAGTCTCCCTCTGTCGCCCAGGCTGGAACGCAGTGGCAGAATCTCAGCTCACTGCCACCTCCACCTCCCAGGCTCAAGCAGTTCTCCTGCCTCAACCTCCTAAGTACCTGGGATTACTGGGGAAGCACCACTACACCCAGCTAATTTTTGTCTTTTTAGTAGAGACAGGGATTTGCCATGTTGTTGAGGCTGGTCTTGAACTCCTGGCCTTAAGTGATCTGCCCACCTCCACCTCCCAAAATGCTAAGATTGCAGGCATGAGCCACCACGCCCAGCTGGAAATTCTGCTTTTTAGACATGACATCTTTAAACTCATGTCTCCCATCCCAGTGTTTTCTCTTGATTGTAATAATAACATATATTTACTATAGAAATTTAGGCCAGGCATCTTGGCTCACACCTGTAATCCCGGCACTAAGGGAGACCAAGGCTGGAGGATTGCTTGAGGCCGGGAGTTCAAAGCCAGCTTATGCAATGTAAGTTCAAAGCCAGCTTTTGCAATGTAATGAGACCCCATCTCTACAAGAAATAAAAAAATTAGCTGAATGTGGCAGTCGGCACCTTTAGTCCCAGCTACTTGGGAAGCTGATGTGAGAGGATTGCTTGAGCCCAGGAGTTTGAAGCTGCAGTGGGCTATGATCGTGCCACACTGCACTCCAACCTGAGCAACAGAACTTCAAAAACCCAGTCTCAAAAAAAAGGCGGGGATGAGGGGTTGGGGGAATTAGAAGAATGAGAAATGTGCGAAAATTTTGAGTGATTTCCTTCATAGTAAAGATAACTTTTTTTTTTTTTTTTTTTGAGATGAAGTTTCATTCTTGTCGCCCCCAGCCTAGAGTACAATGGCACAATCTTGGCTGACTGCAACCTCTACCTCCCACGTTTAAGCAGTTCTTCTGCCTGAGCCTCCCAGCTAGCTAAGATTACAGGCACCTGCTACTATGCCCAGCTAATTTTGGGGGTTGTTTTGTTTTATTTTCAAGATGGAGTCACTCTGTCGCCCAGGCTGGAGTACAGTGGCATGATCTCGGCACACTGCAACCTCTGCTTGCGGGGTTCAAACAATTCTTCTGCCTCCGCCGCCCAAGTAGCTGTGACTACAGGCATGCCCCACCACAGCCGGCCAATTTTTTGTGTTTTTAGAAACGGGGTTTCACCATGTTAGCCA